ACGTCAGTCCGACGTCAGTCTGAAGTCAGTCTGACGTCAGTTTGACGTCAGACAAAACGGCAGACAAACGTCAGACCCAGGTCTGACGAGCATCTGACGTCATACATTTGTCAGACGGACGGGCCTGACGTCAGAATGACGTCAGACTGACGTCGGACTGTCGTCAGACTGACGTCCGGCTGATGCCATACTGGCGTTAGACTGACGTCATGCCGACGTCAGGTTGACGTCGTGCTGATGTGATCGGCGCAACGACTCGGTGCGTAGTTCGTGTTGAGTCAGCTGTTCAAATTCATGCAGTTGTTTCCTCGGGTGCCAACGCATTCAAGTGCTCGCCGCTTGGAATCGATTGGACCTCTGACAAAGTCACGCGGATATTCTGACCGAATTTCATAAGTCTCGATTTGTTGCGTTGGTTTGTTCGCATCAGACACCGACGCCCCTTCGATTTAGCCGCCGCGGGCTTCGAGGGCCACCGCGTTGAAGTCCAGGGGTTTTGCTTGTTTCCCCTACTGCGCTGCCTGTTCTCGTGGACATGGTGAAGGCGATGGAGATCGCCTTGAAGCGCCCTGCTCCTGCCCCCGCACGGGGAAGCCGAGCATCGCCGGAGCCGACCCCGCCGAGAAGATCGACGCCGCGGACATGAAGAAGACGGGCGACAAAGACACGCGGGACGGGCAGTTCTAAACATCGGCACGCTTTCTGGGACATTTTGAAACAGAGGAACATCACCAAGAGACGGTGGATGAGGATGGTGAGGAGGCTGACCACGAGGATGAGGCGGTGTATGATGAGGGTAAGAGGCAATAACATTCAGAAGTAGTGAGGAGAACGTGCAGTTGAAGAATTATTGACGCTTCGCGTGTCCCCGCCAGGTTCCGTAGCCTGGCTCAAGCCACCTCGGCTCGAGCACGCCCCCCTTTCAGGTGCGCGCCTGCCGGGGCTGCTACTTCTCGGCCGCGATGGTTCTGCATTCGTGGGGCTGGAACGGCCGCGCTGCCGCGGGCTCTTCCGGCCGCTGGCAGCAGGCAGGAGAGCAGTGGGGCCGAGGGCGCCCTCCTGACCAGTGGGCGGAGGCCGCAGCTTCCCTCGGCGGGGCCACGCCGCGGCCGAGGGCCGCCTGGCAGGCCGCCGCGGGCTGGCCGCCTCCGGGGGCCGCCGGCCGGCCGCCGACGCGGGCGGGCCGCGGCGCAGACCGCGCACTTCAGGCGCAGTCCCTTGAGACTGCCTCGGCACGACGCAGACGGCAGCGCGGTGCCGCCGGCGCCACTGGCGCCGTGGGCGCCGGGCGCGGCGCTGGCGCCGCCGCCGCCGGCGGGGCCGCGGGCGCCGCGGGCGCCGCTGGCGCCGCCGGCGCCGCTGGGGCCGGCGCCGCGGGCTCGGCGGCCGGCGCCGCCGCCGCCGCCCGCGCGGCCGCCGGCGCCGCGGCTGCCGCCGCCGCTGCCGCCGCCGCCGTGGCGGAGGCGGCCGCCGCGGCGGCCGCGGGCCACGCAGCCGGCGCCGCGGCCGCCGCGGCCCGCGCGGCCGCCCTGGGGCCCGCCGCCGCGGGCGCCGCCGCGGCAGCAGCAGCAGCAACAACAGCCGCAGCAGCAGCGGCATCAGCAGCAGCCGCAGCAGCAGCAACTGCAGCAGCAGCCGCAGCTGCTGCAACTGCAGCCGCAACAGCAGCAACAGCAGCAGCTGCAGCAGCAGGGCAGCAGCAGCAGCAGCAGCAGCAACAGCCGCAGCAGCAGCAGCAGCAACATAACCCAGCAGCTGCAGCAGCAGCAGCAGCAGTCGCAGCAGCGGCAGCAACAGCGGCAACACCCCCAACCACAGCCACAGCAGCAGCTACAGGTGCTGCAGCAGCAGCGCCCCGCAGCTGCTGCATCAACAACACCCCCCTCAGCAGCCGCAGCAACCGCCGCAGCACTTACAATCACAGCCGCGCTTCCAGCGACAGGTGCTGCAGCAGCAGCAACAGCAGCCCCAGCAGCAGCAGACCCTCCCCGGGGACGAGAAACCCGCGAGCCTCAAAGTATCCTCTCTGACGACCAGAAGGAGGTACCCCTGCTCCCTGATAGCCTCCTAGGCACCTCTGGGAGCCAGCAGAACCCGCGAGAAGACTCAGAGGTACCCTTGCTCCGTCGAACAGGCGCAGGCGGAGTCTGAGGGATATGTATCCTCTCGTTTGTCAGAACATGGTTGGTATCTAGCCCAGGCACATTCCATCCGATAATTAGTATTGCAAGTTGTGCAGTCACGCAGGTGACCTGAGAATTTTCGACCAAGATGTGTGCGATAATCTTTGTCGGGCATGATTGTCAACTGCTCGCAAGCAAAATCAAAGTGCGCCCCTTCTGCTGCGTTAGAAGTACCGGTGTCGTCCGTCACAATCTTGGTCCTGCTCGTGTTCAGCGAAAGCCTTCGCTCGCCCATCTTCTGCACGAGGACACCCAACATGCGGATGGAGTCTTCAGCGGAGATCGCGTATAACAATATGTCGTCTGCGTACCTCATGTTGCACAACTTCTCCCGATAACCAATTGAAATACCACATCCAGCAACTTTTCTCTTGAAATCGCGCACAGCGTCCTCCAAGCCCGCATTGAATAATTATCCCAGTTCGACCCTACCTAGGAGTTGGAACCCCTAGGAAAGCAGCATTAGTAGTGACAGTAACGCTAAGCTAAAGCTAAGCTAAAGCTAAGCTAAAGCTAAGCTAAAGCTAAGCTAAAGCTAAGCTAAAGCTAAGCCGCAGCTAAGCTAACGCTAAGCTAAAACTAAGCTAAAGCTGAGCAGCAGCTAAGCTAAACCTAAGCTACAGCTAAGCTAAAGCTAAGCTAAAGCTAAGCTAAAGCTAAGCAAAAGCTAAGCAAAAGCTAAGCTAAAGCTAAGCTCAAGCTAAGCTCAAGCTAAGCTCAAGCTAAGCTAAAGCTAAGCTAAACGCTAAGCGAAAAGCTAAGCGAAACGCTAAGTTAAAGCTAAGCTACAGCTAAGCTAAAGCTAAGCTAAAGCTAAGCCAAAGCTAAAGCTAAAGCTAAAGCTAAAGCTAAAGCTCCCAGGGGACTGGGGGGAACCGCTCCCAGGGGACTGGGGGAACCGCCCGGGGCGTGTAGCACTGCCCGGCCCCTTTAAGCTAAGAGAGTAAGAGCCCTTCTAGGCAGAGCCTAGGTAGGGAACAAAGAAGATAAGCCATCCCCCTGCTTCACCCCGCGTGAAGTGCAGAAACTCGCGCCGCCATTGACAGTGCCCCTGGCGCTGGTAAATGTCTGACAGCATCTTGATGTACTCGTCATTCAATCTTTGGTTGCGCAGAGCATCGAATAAAGCGTGGTGCTCAATCCTATCAAATGCTTTTGTAAAGTCGACACTGATAATCCACAACGGCGAACAGTATTCCCAACACTTTGAACACACCTCCTCGAACACCAGGAACGCATCATCTACAGAGCGGCGCTGCCTGAAACCAACTTGGTCGAATTATTGCTCAGCGTCCTACACAGGCTGTAAACGTTCGAAAAGCATCAGCGTGAAGATCTTGTAGGTTATCTTGAGGATGGCAATGGGCCTCCAATTCTTCGCGTCGTGGCGGTTGCCCGTCTTTGGCAGCATCATGAAGAATGGTTCTCTCAACGACGGGTCAAGGGCACCGTTCCGCAGCATGCCGTTCATGCTCCCCAGCAGTGCCTTGCGAAGATCGTCCCCAACGTGCACGAACATCTCCACGATCACGCCTCGTCTGTCAGCGCACTTGCCCTTCTTCATCTTCTTGAGGGCGAGACGTAACTCATTCGAAGTAACTGGGTCTATGTCGTAAGGCCCTTTGTCACAACATCTGTCTGACCATGCCGCCCTCTCGTCTCCCGCGTCGGTGGCAAAGGTCTGATCCAATGACGTCTTGAATGTTTCGCTGTTGCCTCTTGCTCTGCTGAGTGGGAAACATATGTTTATGAGGCAAAATCTTCGATCCTCCGAACTCGGTCAATTTCTCTGCGGCCCGCGCGTTGGAGAATTGTCTCATTGCCTTCCGGTGCTCCTTGTGGATCAATTTCGATAGTCGCGACCTCTTTGTCTGAGTTTCGGCGTGACGGCGTTGCCAGCGCAGCTCCAAGATAGGACGATCGCGCCATGGCCAGCGCTTCGAATGGCCGCCGTCCCGTGCAATAGACCTATTTGCTTCCGCTACGACGTTCTCCAGATTTTGCAGGGTTGGTGCAGGCTTGCCCCACAAATGGCTTCCAGCGGAGTTGGCGTACACGCAGGATCTGCGCGAATTCTATGCGTATAGTGTTTCACCATCCGATGATTTACAGTTTTGCACACATGGTGCTCTCGCTGCAGTGTGGGCCTCATTTTCGGATCGGCGATGTGCTCAGATCGTTCAGAATGGCGCTCCCCCTGGCGTGGGCCACTTCTCTGGCTCCCACAGGTCTCGCAGGCACCACAGGTCCCACAGGATCCACAAGTGTCGCAGGTTGCCCGACGGATCCCTCAGGTCCCACCAGTTTGACAGGTCCCACAAGTCCTTCAGGTGTCGCAGGTCTCGCATGCCCCACTGGTCCAACATGTCCGACGGGTCCCGCAGGCCCCAAAGGTGTCGCAGGTCCCGCAGGTCTCGCCGGTGCAACGGTTCCCACAGGTCTCGCAGGCCTCACAGGTCCCACAGGTCCCACGGGTCCCACAGCTCCCACAGGTGTTGCAGGTCCCACGGGCCCCACAGGCCACAGTGGTCCCCCAGGTCGCACAGGGCCCACAAGCTTCCCTCTTCTCCGACGGCGCACAGCACGAGGAGGTCTTCTTGTGGAGTTCCAGGTCGGCCACGACACGCGTCCGCGGCCAGAGGCACCATCGGCGTAGGGATGGGAGGGAGGGGAGGGCGGGATCGGCTGTCAGACAGGGCGCGCGCGCGCCCAGCCTGCCTCTGCTCCTCTCTCCCTCTCGGTCCCTCGTCCCCCCGTCGCTCCTCTCTCTCTCCTCCTCCCCCCGCCCCCCGCCTGCCTCCCGCCCCTTCCCTCTTCAGGAGGCGCGTGCGCGGGCGGCGGCGCCCCCTTCCCGGTTCCGACGCGCTGGGGCGAGGCGAGGCACTTCAGGCCGGGGGGGGGAGGCAACGCAACACGAACAACAGACAACTCAACACAACAAAACACACACACACACACACACACACGCACACAAGCACACACACACACACGCGCACGCACGCACGCACGCACGCACGCACGCACACACACCCACACACACACACACACACGCACACACACACGCACACACGCACGCACGCACGCACGCACGCACGCACGCACGCACGCACGCGCGCGCGCACGCACGCACGCACGCACGCACGCACGCACGCACGCACGCACGCACGCACGCACACACACACACACACAGAGCCTGGAAACAGCTGCAGCATTGTGGTATCCCGCTTCAACATGCCTTCCGCCTCCATCCACTACTTCCCGCCCTCCTCCTCCCCCTGCCTCTACAGTGTCATTGCACAGACATTGGCAGGATGTCCGCTGCGTCTCCCCACAGCGATCAGACAGAGAAGCAGGGCGTGCGAACAATCTCAAACTCGATCTCTTATCACCTTAGCCAGTGTAGACTAAGCGGCGCAGGAGGTGCGACATTACTCCAGACGTACCCAAACCCTTCTGCACACGAGTCGATTGCTTCAATGCTTTGTCCAAAAGAACACCGTGCGATATATGCGACACTCAGACAGATTTCGCAGAGTACGGTCGCTGCACGCGCGTCGCACACTTGCGCATAGAACGGGCGAGAGAAGTGAAGGAGGAGGAAGAGGAACCGAGGGGAAGAAGACAGGAGGATGGCGAAGGAAGGGGAATGAATCTGGTGAGAGTAACAGTACCATCCGCTACATCTGCTCGGTTCGCCCGCGCTGCCGTTGTGGACGACAAACACCAGAGAATGGGGGGAGTTGGCCAACGAGGACAGCGCCATGCGAAAAGGACAGCGCCACGCGCCATGTGGGCGCGCGCCGTTTCACATTCGACTGGTTGTCGCCTGTTACAGCATCGCCGACGGCGCCGCCAAAGAAGCAGCCATACGCATGCGCGCCCAGAACCCGCTTGCGTTGTTTCCTGCAATTTTCCGCGCGGCCGTTGAACATCCGGAAGCGCGCAGGCAGATCCGCTTGCGGCCCTTTGGACAAGAAATCCCCACTTGGGGCGCGGACGAAGAGGAGCTTGCCAGACGTCGTCACTATGGAAAGCATGACGTACATGTGCAGCCAGAGGGCGTCCAAGTCGTTGGCGTCTTAACGCCCAGCGTCGACGATAACGCCCTCGTGCATGGTCAGTCCCAGGCAAACAGTCACGTGAGCACTTTGGTGCATGGGATCTGCAACCCAGTCCGCTCAAGCAGTGGCGAAGCGTCCTGGCGTGCCTATAGCCCTACCAAACAATGTTCTAAGAGCCTTTTGTGGTTCCCACGAAATGTTCTTAGAACCTTTCTGGTTGGGACTGCCTTGGTTTACCACATCGGTCTTCTGTGCTAAGAACATTGTGTTTGTTCTTAGAACATTTTTGGGTCCTGAGAGCATTTCGTGGTAGGAGGAAGTCGGGCCTGTCCCTCTACAGGGGGAATATTCAAAAATAGTCAAAAAATAGCCAGGGGACAATTTCTTAAGTATTTGTTGGCATCTTCTGATCATGTTTTGAGTATGTTTTATTTTTCGTCCAAAATCACCCTGTAGGGGGACACGTCCGACCTAATGGTAGGACTATAGGAATGCCGGGACGGTCGGTCCCTGCTCAGTCCGCGTGACCGTGTTCGTGCGGAATTTGAGGGAGGTGGACGTCTGCGGTTCGAGGAAGACGAGCACGACCCCGCCCGAGGCGCCCGAGTCCCCGACGGAGCCTCGAGGCCTCGCTCTTTGAGCTGCGCTGCCCGCCGTGCTTCTCCCAGGAAGCCCACGGCGAAGCGGCGACGGCTGCACGGTTCGCGGCCCCCGGCGGAGCCGCGAGGCTTCGGAGGCCTCGCAGGGGATGTGGCGTGACCAGCCTTAAGTCGGGCCTGTCCCTCTACAGGGGGATTAAAAAAAGAGATAGTCAAAACAAACAGTCTGGGGACTACTTTTCGAGTATTTCTGGGCATCTTTTGGGCATGTTTGGGGTATCTTTTATGTTTCGTCCAAAATCCCCCTGTAGGGGGACAGGCCCGACCTAAGACCAGCCACCCCGGCGGGTTTCCTTCCCAGGGGCCCACGGAAGTGGCGACGGTTGCGCAATTCGCAGCCTCCGAGAGGGCTGCAGGCTTTCGGACGATCTCCGCTGGCCTGCACTCCACCGCGCTTCCCAAGAGCCCGGGAAAGTGGCGACAGCTGTGCAGTTCGCAGCCCCCGAGGGAGCCGCGAGGTCTCAAATGATTCGAGGTGCCTTGCATTCCATCGTGCCCCCCAGGAGAGAACGGAGGAGGCGTCAATTACGCGGTTCGCAGCCCCGCGCTGCCCCCTAGTCCGCCGCGCTGCCCTCTAGTCCGCCGCGTTGCCCTCGAGGTCTTAAATGATTCGCCTTGCCCTCCAGTCCGCCGCGCTTCCCAGGAACCCACCCACGAACGTAGCGACAGTTCAGCAACTTGCAGACCCCGGCGGAACCGCGAGGTCTCAAAGTGTCTGCGCTGCCCTGCACTCCGCCGTACCTCCCAAGACCTTCCAGGAGCCCATCAAAGATCAAAGTGACAAGAGTTGCGCCTTTTTCCAGCCCTCGAGGGAGCCAGGATTCTTCGCCGAGTCTGGCGCCTCCGCCGTGCCTCCCAGGAGTCCACGAACGTAGCGACTGTTGCGAAGTTCGCAGCCCCCGACGGAAACGCGAGGCCTCGAATGATCTGCGCTGCCCTGCATGCCGCCGCGCATCCCAGGAACCCACGAGATGGGCGATCGTTGTGCAGTTCGCAGCCCGCTAGGGGGCCGCGAAGTCTCAAATGGTCCGCGCTGGCCCGCACCCGGCTGTGCCCCTCAAGAGCCAACGAAAGTGGCGATCGTCGTGCAGTTCGCAGCCCCCAAAGGAGTCGTGAGGTCTCAGATGGTTTGCGGGGCACTGCATTCCGCCGTGCCCCCCAGGAGGCCACGTGGATGGCGACAATTGCGCAGTTCGCAGCCCCCGAAGGAACCGCGAGGTCTTAACTGATTCACGTTGCCCTCTCTTCCGCCGCGCTTCCCAGGTACCCACGAACGTGGCGACAGTTCTGCAGTTCGCAGCCTCCGACGGAACCGAAGTGTAAAACGACCTGCGCCGCCACGCGTTCAGCAATACCCCCCAGAAGCCCACGAAAGCGACGAGAGCTGCGCGGTTCGCAGCCCCCGAGTGGGCCGGGAGATCTCGCCTGTTCAGCGCCCGCGTCGAGTCTCCCAGAAGCCCACGAAGGTGGCGACAGCTGTGCAGCGCTCGCAGCCGCGGGGGGAACGCACGGGATGCACGAGGAGGTGGGCGCACGAGGACGCAGGAAGCAGGAGAAGCGAGGAGGCGGGAGGCCCGAGGGAGGCGCGCGAGCAGTTTGCTGTTCAAAGCGACGCCCAGCACAGGAGGATTTGGGAATACCAGTGGGGAAGCCCACGAGGGCGACATTGTTGAACACTGTGGCGATGGCAAAAAATTGCACCGTGGCTCTTTCACCACGCCCCCACCAATACCCCTGCCTACTTACACATCCCACCCAGCCATCTAGAAGTGCCTCCAACTCCTCCTGCTCATCATCCGCATCACCACCCCACCTGCGAGAGATATTCCGAGCACGGTGCAGCGCATGTGCTGCCCGTGCTTTCCCAACGCAGGTTGGGTGTCGCGATGTCCCTAGTTTTCTTCCTTCCAATTCTCCCCCGGCCAATGTAAGCCAGCGTGGACCCCAAACAGTAGGTTCGTGGATCTCCGATGTGTTATACATGCGTTGCACATTAAGTCATACGTTGTGTGAATCGTGCAATATCGCTGCCGCAAGTTATCGGAGACGCCTGCGGCGAATCATCGCCGCACCCTGCCTTTTCGGACGCGTCTGCGTGGTCGAAAGTTGGGTTTGAGCTTGGCCAAGCTATCGGGCCACGCGTTCCCCGAGTGGGTTTCGAAAGCCTTCGGGGATCATGGATCGGACCAGGTGGTTTCCGAGCTTTCCGGCCTTCCTGGATGGAGGACGTCTTAGAGCGCTCTTGTGCCGTTTTGGAGGCCTCTTCTGGGCCTTTTGGGCTCTCTAAGGCAGTCTTCAGGCCATTTGCGGCCGTCTTGGGTGCACCTTGGGGCCATCTTCGCTGTCTTGGAGGCCTTCTTAGCCGTCTTGGAGGCATCTTGGAGGCCATCTTGGCCGTTTTGGAGACCATCTTCGGCGCATTCGGGGCCATCTTGGGCGTCTTGGGCTCTTCTTGGGGCCCTCCTGGGGGCCTCTTGGGTTGTCATAGGGCCATCTTGGAGGCCTCTTGGGCGCTCTTGGAACGATGTTGGGGGCCTCTTGGGCCGTCTTGGGCCGTCGGAGAGGATAAGAAGAACATGCCAATATCCTTCAAAAACCTATGGGAAATCAATGATTGTTGCCCTTTGGGGCCTTCCTGGAGGACGTCTTGGAGCGCTCTTGGGCCGTTTTGGAGGCCTCTTCTGGGCCTTTTGGGCTCTCTAAGGCAGTCTTCAGGCCATCTGGGGCCGTCTGCGGTGCATCTTGGGACCATCTTAGCCGTCTTGGAGGCCATGTTGGCCGTCTTGGAGGCATCTTGGAGGCCATCTTGGGGCATGAAGGGGGTGTTGAAAGCCATCTTGAGCCGTCTTGGGAGAGTTTTTGGGAGAATTATGCGCCCTTCGGGTGGCCGGCGGGACAGGGGGGGGGGTTGGGAAAAAGAACGAAAACCAAGCCGAAACTATTCAGCACGCCGGGCACCCCTGTGATGAATCAACAGGGGGCGGCGGATTGAAGACGCATACGGCGAATCACCGCCGTCCCCTGCCCCTTTGGAAGCGCCTCTGTGGCCGACAGCTGGGTCAGAGCTTGACCAAGCTATCGGGCCAGTTGTTCGCCGAGTCCGTTTGGAAAGACTTCGGGGACTTAGAGGCCATCTTGGGCGTCTTGGAGGCCTCTTGGGCTGTTTGGGGGCCCTCTTGGGGCCGTCTTAGGAGCCTTTGGGGCCGTCATGGGGCCATCTCGGAGGCCTCTTGGGCGATCTTTGGGGCCTCTTGCGCCGTCTTGAGCCGTCGGAGTGCCGAGAAGAAGCAGATGCCCAAATCTTTCAAAAACTTTAGGATCAAATGATTTGGGCCTCTTCGTGCCCTCCTGGAAGCCCTCCTGGACGCCTTTTGGGCCGTCTTGGAGGCCTCTTGGGGGCCTCTTGGGCCGTCTTGGGCCATCTTGAGGCCATCTTAGGGCGTCTTGGGTGCATCTTTGGCCGTCTTGGAGGCATCTTGGGGCCATCTTAGCCGTCTTGGAGGCAATTTTGGCACCCTTCGAGGCCTCGTGGGCGATCTTGGGGCGATCTTGGGGGCCTCTTGGGCCGTCTTGAGCCGTCGGAAGGCCGAAAAGCAGCAAATGCCAGAATCCTTCAAAACCTAAGGGACAACAAATGATTTTGGCCTCTTCAGGCCCTTCTGCAGGACCTCTTGGAGGCGTCTTGGGAGGCTCTTGGGGGCCTCTTGGGCCGTCTTGAACCATCTTGAGGCTATCTTAGGCCGTCTTGGACGCATCTTGGGCCATCTTGGAGGCATCTTGGGGCCATCTGAGCCGGCTTGGAGGCCACCTTGGGCCGTCTTGGAGCCGTCTGGAGCAGGAAAAACCCGTGGCAACCGGCTCCAGGCAAGCCGGGCAATCTTTCCGGGTGGCTGGCGGGACGGTCCGAAGCCCCAGGGGGGGTCCTTTTGGAAAAAGAACCAAAACCAAAGCCGAAAGGGTCTAGCATGCCAGGCACCTCTGCGATGAATCGACAGGGGGCGGCGGATCGAAGACGCATATGACGAATCACCGCCGCCCCCTGCCCCTTTGGAAGCGCCTCTGTGACCGACAGCTGGGTCAGAGCTTGGCCAAGCTATCGGACCATATGTTCCCCGAGTCGGTTTGGAAAGACTTCGGGGAACACATGGGGGAGCAAGAAGAGGAGGAGGGGGAGGATAAGGAAGAAAGCGGAGGAGGAGGAGGAGGAGGAGGAGGAGGCCTTTTGGGCGCCTCTTGGGGCACTCTTGGGGGTTCCTGGGGGCTTCCTGGGGGCCTCTTCTAGGGTTTTTTGGGGCCTTTGGGGGCTTCTTGGGGGCCTCTTTGGCCGTCTTAGAGCGTTCTGGCTTGTCTGACGCCAGTCTTGAGGCCTTCTTGGGGCATATCAGGGGTTCTTAGAGGCCATCTTGGGCGTCTTGGAGGCCTCTTGGGCCGTTTTGGGGCCCTCTTGGGGCCGTCTTGGGGGCCTTTGGGGCCGTCATGGGGCCATCTTGGAGGCCTCTTGGGCGATCTTTGGGGCCTCTTGCGCCGTCTTGAGCCGTCGGAATGCCGAGAAGAAGCAAATGCCAAAATCCTTCAAAGACCTAACGACAATCAATGATTTTGGCCTGTTCGTGCTCTCCTGGAAGACCTCCTGGACGCCTTTTGGGCTGTCTTGGAGGCCTCTTGGGGGTCTCCTGGGCCGTCTTGGGCCATCTTGAGGCCATCTTAGGGCGTCTTGGGTGCATCTTGCGCCGTCTTGGAGGCATATTGGAGCCATCTTAGCTGTCTTGGAGGCCATCTTGGGTCGTCATGGGGCCATCGTGGAGGCCTCGTGGGCGATCTTGGGGGCCTCTTGGACCGTCTTGAGCCGCAGGAATGCCGAAAAGAAGCAAATGCCAAAATTCTTCAACAACCTGAGGAGTCGTTAGATTGGCTTTACTTGCTATTGCCCCCACATGTCAGATATGATGTAATTTGACTCGGGCCGTCGATCGACTCCCCCTCTCCTGACTTCGAACGGAGGTCAAAGGCTAGATGCGAGCGACGCGCCTGCGTCCCGGCGCCGCTTTGGTTCAAGCGACGTCGCTCTATATGAATGCCCCATACGTGGGGCATCGTAGCATCCGAGTAACGGAAGACGAGACGTCCACTTCTTCCGACGATGCACCCTCTATTCCCATGTTTTGATTCCTATCTACCCGCGCGTACCTACGGCATGAATCAATAATTCGTAGGATATTTTGGTACGCGTAAGGCGTAGTATATGCTACGGAGTACCATACCTTCTTTGTTCGATTGATGCAAGCTTTGTGATGCCACCATTGAGGTGCAGGCTATGTGGGAAAATTGACTGATTAAAACAATGCTACGCGTGCTGTGAGCTTGGTGGTGCAAGCTGCGCGAGCCAGCTATGTGGTGCAAACTATATGCTGCGCAGGCTTTGCTTTGCAAGCTATGTGGTTCCAGCAGTGTGATGCAAGTGCAAGCTAGGTGCTGCAAGCTGCGTGCGGCGAATTATGTGGTGCACCCAGTGCGGGTGGCGCCCACGAAGCGCCCACGGGCGGCAATGGCCGGGCACCAGGCGACATTCCAGCGCACGCGGCGCCCACCAGGGGTCCGAGGGGCGGCCTCCAATCTGGCGCTGTTAAGACCGAAGGCAACCGAAGGACGACCCCCCCTCCAGCGCTAGCGCTGTTAGAGGGGCCGCTCCTCTTCCTCCTGGCAGGTGGAATCCCGAACGCGAAGCTTACGTCTGCCTGCTCTGCAGCACTCCCACGTACGACGTGTGTGCGGACGACGCGCACGTCGAGTCGAGTCGCCACCAGTCCAGGCTTTTGTACGCAGGCGCCCCGCCGGAGTACGACTGGTTGAAGCCCCGGGAGCATTTCGAGCTCCAAGACCACATGGGGTTCCAGGAGAGGGAGGTGGGAGGGAGGAGGAAAAGGAGGAGGAAAAGGCGGAGGAGGAGCAGCAGAAGGAACAGGAGGAGGAGGAGGAGGAAGAGGAAAAGGGGGGGTGATGATGATGATGAGGAGGAGGAGGAGGAGGAGGAGGAGGAGGAGAGCGAGGAGGAGGACGAGAGGAGGAGGAGGACGAGGAGGAGGACGAGGAGAGGAGGAGGGGGAGGAGGAGGAAGGAGGAGGGGAGGAGGAGGAGAGAGGAGAGGAGGAGGAGGAGGTCGAGGAGACGAGGAGAGGAGGAGGAGGAGGAGGAGGAGGAGGAGGAGGAGGAGGAGGAGGAGGAGGAGGAGGAGGAGGAGGAGAAGGAGGAGGAAGAGGAGATTCCCAGCCGGCGATTCTTGGAGCGACCGCCCCAGGAGTCGACAGGCTCTCAGTCTGATCGCCCCCCCAGGGGCCGACCGCCCCTGGTGGGGGGGGGGGGGATGGCTACGACAGGATGACGTTCTCGCCATCAGTGGGTCAGTGGGTCAGGAGGAGGTGGAGGAGGCTGAGGAGGAATAGAGCAAACCCAAGATGCATCAGCGATGCTGCAGTGCGCCCTCCTGTCCTAAGCCCCTCGCTGGTCCCCACAAGCCTGCCTTCTCCACTTTAGGCGGCGCCCACTGGAAAGACCAGCACCTTGTGGGCCCGTCATTCACGCGGTAACCTTGTTTAATTCAAGGGACTTGCCTTTTTTGCATTCTTCCAGCGAGCAATACGTAAGGAATAGGCAAATGTATGATCAGACAGTTCATGGAGGTGCCTGGTAGTATCGCCTTCGTGAAAAAGAAGAACACCCACCTTTGTGGCATTTTCGCACACGTTTGACTTCTGGTGGCGATCGTCGAGTAAGTTTTGAGCGAATCCCCATTGCTAAATTGTGCCGCCATCCATACGTGTGGTTGCACCATGTACTCAATTTTTTGACTGTGCAGAAAGAAATCTCTGGCGAACGCCCAACTTTGAAACAAAAATGCCCCTCATCTGTGCAAGCTGCTGCATGTTCAAGATTAAGTGTTTTTGTGATGAAGAAGTCCCCAACTTAAATCCTCGCTTCGACCAGGATCCGCCTGACATCCCTGCAACTACTGCAAACGTTTCAGACGAATGTGCGCGGTGCAGCGGCGAGCACACCTTTTCTGAAAATAGCCCACCTTCGACCATTGAAATTGATGCAAGCATTGAGGGCGAGTGCGCGCGGCGCTACGGCGAGAGCTCCATTTTGAAAATGGCCAGCCTTCGATCCTTGGAGCTGTCTCAGAGTTTGGGAATCATGTGCGCGGCGCTGAGGCAACAGCATCAGTTTGAAAACGGCGGCCCTTCATGTTAAACAATCCAGAAATAACGTGTCTGACGAATGTGCGCGGCGCTAAGGCGAGAGCTCCATCTTGCAAACGGCCCGCCCTACGTCCTTGAAGCTGTTGCAAGCGTTTAAGACGACTGTGCGCGGCGCTAGGGCGAGAGCATCAATTTGAGTACGGCCCGCTATCCATCCTCGCAGCTGATGCAAAAGTTTAAGACGAATGAACGTGGCGCTAAGGCGAGAAGCCCATTTCGACAACGGCCCGCCCTACATACGCGCCTGGGAGTGCGAAAGGGTGGCGTGATATATCAGGAATAGGGATGGAGGAGGAGGAGGACCAGGAGAAGGGGGGGAAGGAAAGGAGGGGGACAAGGAGTGGGAGTAAGTAAGGATGACGAGGACGAGGACGAGTAGGAGGAGGAGGAGGAGGAGGAAGAGGACGAGGAGAAGGAGGACGAGGAGCCCGAGGAAGAGGACGAGGAGTGGAGGAGCAGGACGAGGAGGAGCAGCAGAGTGAGGGACATGACGAGGGGGGAAGAAGGGGAAGAGGAGGAGGAAAACGAAGGAGGAGGAAGATGAGGTGGAGCTGCAGATGGAGGAGGAGGAGGAGGAGGAGGAGAAGGAGGAGGAGGAGGAGGAGGAGGAGGAGGAGCAGAAGGAGGAGGAGGAGTCTTGAGGTGGTTCTCTCGTGGGCCGCCTCCATAGGAGTGGAAAGTGAAAAGAGCAGGAGGAAGAGGAGGAGGAGGAGGAGGAGGAAGAGGAGGAGGAGGAGGAAGAGGAGGAGGGGGAGGGGGAGGGGGAGGGGGAGGGGGAGAAGGAGGAGAAGAGGAGGAGGAGGAGGAGGGCCCAGGACTGGAAGTGCCTCCTGTGCAACAAGTGGGCAGACGAAGGCTGGCCGACCGCTCACATTCCTTCCTACCCTCCTCCTCCCCCGCTCCTCCTTCCTCTTGTGCTGTTGGCTGTAGCTCGGAGCTTGAGTGGCTGTGTGAGCCCTGGGAGGAGCCTCCATCCCACCACGGATTCCAGCTATGTTGCGAGAGGGGCGTCGAAACACCGAGGGGAGCGCCCGCGTACCACTCGGGACCCGTGGGCGCGCGCGTGCGAGGCTCTCAGCGACGTGGCTCTGTGCTACCACAAGGTGGGGCCCCATGCAAGCGCACAGCGTGCTAGGCTCTTGGGTACCCCCGAGCCTTCCGGAGGGAGGCCCGTGACCTGGTGGATTGGCAGCCCGAGGCGGCTGCCCGCAGGCTCCAGATGGCTCCGGCGAGGCCGACGCCCCCGGGCATCCGGAGCGCTAACCTCCGAGGCGGGAGTTTGTACACGACCACCGCCTGCAGGGTCAGTTTTCGGAGCCTCCGCGGGCGGTGGGCATGGACGCGCTCGGGCCCCCGGGGGCCGAAAAATATATGCCCATGTCCGCCGCCCGCTGGGGCACCAGCACGTCGCCTCCCAGGCGGTGGACATGGATAAATCCCCGCCTCGCATAGGCTCACAGGTTTGGGCGCGCCGCGGGCGCAAGAGCGCAAGGGAGGCCCGCGGGCGCTCCGGGAAGTCCTCCTATTCCCAATCGTTCTCCTCCTCCTCCTCCTCCTCCTCCTCCTCCTCCTCCTCCTCCTCCTCCTCCTCCTCCTCCTCCTCCTCCTCCTCCCCTTCTTTGTTTCCCGCCTCCTCGTCTGGGCGAGAGAGGAGAGAGAACAACAACAAAAAATATGAGACAGAGAGAGAAGGGAAGGGCCAGGGAGAGGCAGCGTGCGCCGGGACGATGAACAGGGGCGTGGGGAAGGGGGCGAATGACGGGAGGGAGAGGGGGGAGGGGGGCGAGGGCGAGGGGGGCACGGAAGTGGGAGGGGAAGGGAACGCGGGGCCAGGGGCGAGGGGGATAAGGGGGGGGGGCCGGGGGGCAGACGGTGACGCGCTGGATCGACGGATGAGGGGTGGGTGGGGGGGAGGCGAGGGAGGGCGGCGAGGGGAGGGCGAGAACGGGCGGCGACGGGCGACCTTCGTGGAGGGGCAAGGGGGGGCGGCGAGGCGTGGCGGTGGGGGCGGGCTGGTGGGTGCCGTGCGCAGGCCACGTGAAGAGCGCGACCCACCAGGAGGCCTTGCAGCGCTTCCGCGCGCGCTCGGCGCAGGCGGCCCGCGCCTCCGAGGAGGCTTCGCGGGCCAGCGCACGCGTGCAGCAGCAGCAACGCAGGGCGAGGCTCCCTGGTAGATGTGCTCCTCCTGATTTTGCTCCTCTCGTCGACGTCCTCCTGCTGCTGCTGCTGCTGCTGCTGCTGCTGCTGTTGCTGTTGCTCCTCCTCCTCCTCCTCCTCCTCCTCCTCCTTTTCCTCTTCCTCCGCCTTTTCCTCTTCCTCCTCCTCCTCCTCTTCTTCCTCCTTTTCCTCCTCCTCCTTCTCCTCCTCCTGCTCCTCCTCCTCCTCCTCCTCCTCCTCCTCCTCCTCCTCCTCTTTTGCCCTTGTACGCTCCTCCTCCTCCTGCTTCCTCCTCCTCCTCCTCCTCCTCCTCCTCTTCCTTCTCGGCCCTCCTCCTCCTCACTCATTTTCCCTTCCCTCCTTCTCTCCTTCTCCTCCTCCTCCTCCTCATTCCCTCCTTTATTCGTCCCTCCTCCTTTCGTCCTCCTCCCTTTCCTCCTCCTCCCTTGTCCTCTCCTCTCCCTCCTCCTCCCCTCCTCCGCCTCCTCTCCTGTCCCCTCCTCCTCCCTTCGTTCCCTCCTCCTCCCCTCTCCTCCTCTCCTCCCTCCTCCTCCTCCTTCTCCTCCTCCTCCTCTTCCTCCTCCTCCTCCTCCTCCTCCTCCTCCTCCTCTTCGCCTCTCTTCCTCCCTCCTTCCTCCTCCCCTCCTCCTCCTCTTCTTCTCGCTCCATCCTCCTCCTCCTCCTCGTCCCTCCTCTCCTCCTCCTTGCTCTCCTTCTCCCTCCTTCTCCTCCTCCTCTTCTCCTCCTCCTCCTCCTCCTCTCCTCCTCCTCCTCCTCGGCTCTCCTCCCCCTCCCTTTCCGTTCCTCCCGCTCCTGGTTCCTCCGCCTCCTCCTCCTTCTCCTCCTCCTCCTCCTCCTGCTTCCTGCCTCCTGCTCCTGCTCCTCCTCCTTCTCCTCCTCCTCGCTCGTCCTCCTTCTTCTCCTCCTCCTTCCTCCTCCATCCTCCTCCTCCTCCTCCTCCTCCTCCTTTATCCTCCCTCGCCCCTGCTCCTGTTCCTGCTCCTCCCCTTCCTCCTCCTGCTCCTGCTGCTGCTGATGCTCCTCCTCCTCCTCCTCCTCCTCCTCCTCCTCCTCGTCCTCCTCGTCCTGTTCTTCTCCTCCTCTTGTTCCTCCTCGTCCTCCTCCTCTTCCTCCTCTTTTTCCTCTTCTCCTTCTCCTGTTCCTCCTCCTCTTCCTCGTCCTCCTCCACCTCCTCGTCGTCCTCCTCCTCCTCCTCTTCCTCCTCCCCCTCGCTTTTGTTTGTTTATGGGTTGCGTGGAATTTAGGTTCGAGACTGTATGGTTCTTTTTCTGCAGAAAAGAGAGATATCATCCTCTTGCTTCTGCTCATGGTCCATCTCTTTCTCCTTCTCCCCCCCCCGTTTCCATCTTAGGCGTTCTCTGTGGGTCCCTCCGTTGGCCACACGGATACCGTTGATCCGCGGCCAGTCTCCGCATTTCGTTCGCTTGGTTCACCCCGGGCGGGACCGTAGCCATCAGCCTTCAGCAACGTTTGTTCTGTGAGCTCTGTGGAGCGCCCCTTCTGCAGATATTATCAGTCGATACTTGGATGAATATACCAAGCGTGGGGCCTGCGGGTACAAGTAGACATGGGAGAGCCGCCCCGCTTGCTTCATATGCAAAAGTCTCGCGATATCCCACCGCCAAGGAGGTCTCAGCCTTTGCAAAGGGGTTCGGGAGACAAGGCTCCAGCGGGCTTCGGGGCACGAAGCAGGGCGGTCTTCGCGGAGCGAGTGGCCCAAGTCTCGCCGCGCGCGCAGCACAGACGACGGGCGCGGCAAAGAGAAGTGGAAATGCAGCGACAAACCGCAAGCAGAGGTGTCGCCTGAGCAAGTGCTTCGGGCTCTCCAGGCGGCGGCGCCCCACATTGCCGAGACCCTGGCCTCCATCAAGCACGGCCCTCCACCAGCGCCGCCGAAGACCGAGCCCCCCCCCGCGAGGCGCACAACCGGGCAGAGGAAACGAGGGCGATTTGGACAAGGGCGGGGGGGGGGCCGCGAATCGCCGGGTCGCCGGGTCGCCGGGTCGCCGGGTCGCCGGGTCGCCGGGTCGCCGGGTCGCCGGGTCGCCGGGTCGCCGGGTCGCCGGGTCCTCGGGTCGCCGGGTCGCCGGGTCGCCGGGTCGCCGGGTCGCCGGGTCGCCGGGTCGCCGGGTCGCTCGCCGGGTCGCTCGCCGGGTCGCCGGGTCGCCGGGGTCGCCGGGTCGCCGGGTCGCCGCGGTCGCTCGGGTGCCGGGTCGCCGGGGTCGCCGGGCGGTCGCCGGGTCGATCGCCGGGTCGCGGGTCGCGGGTCGCCGGGTGCCGGGTGCCGGGTGCCGGGTGCCGGGTGCCGGGTGCCGGGTGCCGGCCGCTGGGTCGCCGGGTCGCCGGGTGCCGGGTGCCGGGTGCCGGGTGCCGGGTCGCCGGGTCGTCGGGTCGCCGGGTGCCGGGTGCCGGGCGGGGTGCCGGGTGCCGGGTGCCAGGTGCCGGGTCGCCGGGTCGCCGGGTCGCCGGGTGCCGGGTGCCGGGTCGCCGGGTCGCCGGGTGCCGGGCGCTGGATGCCGGGTGCTGGGTGCCGGGTGCCGGGTCGCCGGGTGCTGGGTCGCCGGGTCGCCGGGCCGGGTCGCTGGGTGCCGGGCGGGTCGCCGGGTCGCGGGTCGAGGTCGAGGGTCGCCGCGGTCGCTCGCGCGGGTCAGCCGGGTTCGCCGGGTCGCGGGTCGCGGAGTGGCGGTTTCCGCGGGTGGCCGGTCGGCCGGGTCACGCTCGCCGGGTCGCTCGCCGGGGTCGCCGGGGTCGACGGGTCGCCGGGAATCGCCGGGTCGACGGGTCGCCGGGTCGCAGGGTCCTCGGAGTCGCCCCCGGGGGTCGCCGGGTCGCCGGGTCGCCGGGTCGCTCGGTCGCCGGGTCGCCGGGTCGCCGGGTCGCCGGGTCGCCAGGTCGCCGGGTCGCCGGGTCGCCGGGTGGGCAGAGGAGGAGAAGAGGTGTTGCTGGAATGTGGCGATTGCGAGAGATGATGACCATGGTGGTGGTGATGATGACGACGTTGACGACGACGACGTCGACGACGATACGATGATGATGGCGGTGATGATGATGACGACGACGATTACGATGGCGATGAATATGATGATGACGGTGATGATGATGATGTATATTATGTGATGATGGTGATAGTGATGATGATTACGATGGCGTGATTATTGCGATGACGACGGTGTTGGTGATGGTGACCTTGCGGGCTTGCGTGGGTCGACAGATCCTCAGGAAGAGGGGGCGATTGACATTTTACAGCGCCTCAACGTCCCAGGGGGCACGGTGGCGGATCTGCAGCTATTTGGAGATATATTATGTAGCTATATTGGAGGTCATCTTGGGTGTTCTGAGGCCTCCTGGGTCTTGGAGGCTATCTTGGGTCATCTTGGACGCTCCAATCGGTCGCCGCCACTCCTGTCCGGACCCGGCGGACTAGGCGGGATCCCCAGGCAATAGGAGGCGGATGGGGTATAGAGTATGAGGAGCAGGAGGAAAGGAGGGGGAGGAGGAGGAGGAGGTGGAGGAGGAGGAGGAGGAGGAGGAAGAGAAGGAGGGGGAACAGGAGGACGAGGACGAGGAGGGGGGGGAGGAGCAGTACGAGGAGGAGGTGGAGGAGGAGGATGAGGAGGAGGAGTGGGAGGAGGAGGAGGAGGAGGAGGAGGAGGAGGAGGAGGAGGAGGAGGAGGAGGAGGAGGAGCGGGATAAGGAAAAGGAGGAGGAGGCGGAGGAGGTGGAGGAGGAGGAGGAGGAGGTGGCGGAGGAGGAGGAGGAAGTGGAGGAATGGGGGATGGTGAGACCGAAGAGGAGGAGAAGGAGAAGGAGGATGGGGAGGGGGAGGACGATGAGGACGATGATGGGGAGGATGAGGAGGAGGAGGAGGAGGAGGGGAGCAGGAGGAGGAGGAGGAGGAGGAATGTGGCGGTAGCGAGAGATGGTGATGATGATGATGATGGTGGTGATGATGATGATGATGATGATGATGACGACGACGACGATGACGATGACAATGGTGGAGATGATGACGATGATGACGATGATGACGAGGACGATTACGATGGCGATGAAGATGATGATGACGGTGGTGATGATGATTACTATGGGATGACGATGTTGATTAGTATGGAGTGATGATGGTGATGATGATGGTGTTGGTCGTGGTGACCTTGCGGGCTTGCCCTGGGGTCGACAGATCCTCAGGAAGAGGGGGCGATCGACATTTTACCGCGCCTGAACGTAGGGGGCGCGGTGGCGGATCTGCAGCTATTTGGAGATATATGTAGCTATATTGGAGGTCATCTTGGGTGTTCTGAGGCCTCCTGGGTCTTGGAGGCTATCTTGGGTCATCTTGGACGCCCCAATCGGTCGCCACCACTCCTGTCCAGACCCGGAACACTAGGCGGGATCCCCGGGCAATGGGAGGCGGATGGGGTATAGAGTATGAGGAGCAGGACAAGAGGAGGAGGAGGAGAAGAGGAGGAGGAGGAGGAGGAGGAAGAGGAGGAGGAAGAGGAGGAGGACGAGGACGAGGAGGCGGGGGAGGAGCAGTACGAGGAGGAGGTGGAGGAGGAGGATGATGACGAGGAGGAGTGGGAAGAGGATTGGGATGAGGAGGATGAGGAGGAGGAGGCGGAGAAGGTGGAGGAGGAGGTGGAGGAGGAGAAGGACATGGAGGAATGGAGGACGGTGAAACCGAAGAGCAGGAGGAGGAGAAGGAGGAGGGGGAGGAGGATGACGACGATGAGGACGATGATGGATAGGAGGAGGAGGAGGAGGAGGAGGAGGAGGAGGAGGAGGAGAAGGAGGAGGAGGAGGAGGAGGAGGGGGAGGGGGAGGGGGAGGAGGAGAGGGAGGAGGGGAAGGAGGAGGAGGAGGAGGAGGGGGAACCCAGCTTCGAGCGCGTTTTCGGCTGCAGTCAACAGGCTGACCAGAGCACTGTTGAATGTCCGGAGCCGTTGTGGCTCCAGGCTACTCCAACCAGCACAAACGAGGGCTGCTT